TTAAAAGAACAGCATTTTACAGAGTGTCACCGGAAACATTCCTATAATTCTAAATTACGGGTAGTCCTCGACTTACAACAGTTCATTTAGTGACCGCTCAAAGCTACAGCAGCATTGAAAAAAGTGACTTATGACCATTTTTCACATTTACAAACATTAGCAGCATCCCCCAAGGTCACGTGATCAAAATCCAGATGCTTGGCAACCGACTCGTATTTATGACGGTTGCGGCGTCCCAGAGTCACGTTAACCCCCTTTTGCTACCTTCCGATAAGCAAAGTTAATGGGGAAGCCAGATCCACTTAACAACTGCATTACTAGCTTAACAACCACTGTGAATCGTTTAATAACAGTTGCCAGAAAGGGCCCACATTCACTTAACAACTGTCTCACGTAACAACAGAAATTGTGGGCTCATTTGTGGTTGTAAGTCGAGGACTACCTGTATATCATCTGAAACCTTTCTAGAAAAAGGTTCACGGCTCCTCCTGGCGGCCACTGTACAGGTGGTCCTCGACTTACAATGGTTCATTTAGCGACCATTCAAAGTTACAACGGCAGTGAAAAAAGTGACACGTTGACCATCCTCCCTGTGGTCACGTGATCAAACTTCAGACGCTTGGCAACTGGCATGTATTTGTGACAGTTGCAGTGTCCCAGGGTCACGTGATCCCCTTTTGTGACCTTCTGATGAAGTCTGCAATCTTAAGTGAAACCCAATTCACTTAACAACCATGCTACCAACTTAACAACTATAATCATAATCATAAAGTTGGAAGAAACCTTGGAGGTCATCTAGTCCAACCCCCTGCTTAGGCAAGAAACCCTGTACCATTTTGGACAAATGGCTGTCCAGTCTCTTCTTCAAAACCTCCAGTGTTGGAGCATTCACCGTTTCTGGAGGCAGGTTGTTCCACTGGTTAATTGTTCTCACTGTCAGGAAGTTTCTCCTTAGTTCTAGGTTGCTTCTCTCCTTGATTAGTTTCCACCTGTTGCTTCTTGTCCTGCCTTCAGGCGCTTTGGAGAATAGCTTGACTCCCTCTTCTTTAGGGCAGCCCCTGAGATATAGGAAGACTGCTATCATGTCCCCCCTCATCCTTCTCTTCGTTAAACTAGACATACCCAATTCCAGCAACCGCTCCTTATATGCTTTAGCCTCCAGTCCCCTAATCATCTTTGTTGCTCTTCTCTGTACTCTTTCTAGAGTCTCAACATCTTTTTTACATCATGGGGACCAAAACTGGATGCCGTATTCCAAGGCATTGTAAAGTGGTATTAACGCTTCACGTGATCTTGGTATCATTGCAGTGATTCATTTAACAACGGTGGCAAGAAAGGTAATAAAATGGGGCAAAAACTGACTTAACACCTGTCTTGCTTAGCCATGGAAATTTCGGGCCCAATTGTGGCTGCAAGTCGAGGACCACCTGTATTAATTGAACAATGTGATCACCTTTTGTGACCTTCTGTTAGGCAAAGTCAATGGGGAAGCCAGATTCACTTAACACACATTAAGAAGCCAAAACAACTGGTTTCTTAATGTGTGTTAAACCAAAACCAAAGCATCCAGTTTTTTTGTTTTTGTTTTTTCAAATGAAGTGTTTCAGAAGGCGACAAAATGAACAGCTCAATTCCAAAACATTGCTGGAGTTGAAATTAAAGTTAAATGGTTCCAGAAGTCTTCCATGCAAACTATCTTGGATATTTCTGGCCAATTTCTTTTTTTACCCTTCCCCATAATCCCAGACTTTTATTCCAATAGATTTGTCTCCAAAACTGGACAGCAATCGTACTCCTCATATAGATGCTCCAGGAATGCCAATAAAATAAAATTAGCCTTTTTGCTAATTCTAGAGGAGCTTGTTTTAACAGATATACTTCTCTGTGCATTTCGATCAAAAGGAAATGAGAAAAGCCTAGACAATGACCATTAACCCAAATTTTCCACAGCACATTTTCCAGGTTGGAAGGATTCTTTTAAATCTGTTGCACACCTGGCAGATGTTGTGTCCCCACAGTTCTTTTCCCCGGCCTCTCCTGGGAATCCTGTTACTAAGTTCACACTCACGTGATTTCCTGCTTTGGCCTAGCTTATTAATTTCAGGCTGCTATCCCCCGATAGCTCGGATTATTCCAATTTTCTGTTCCAATGCAATTTGAGTGCCACATGGAGCATAGAGACATTTTTATGACTCTCTCCAGAGAGAAATCAGGAGTACAATAATAAGAGATAAGCGCAACACAAATAGGAGAGCCTCTTAATGCTAGTCTTAAGCTTCCAATTTGGAGACAGATAAGCACCTAACCCAGAAGCTTCACTTCTGAGGATGTGAAAGAAAGAGGCAAGAAACCAACTGCAGCCCCTTAACAACTTTCTACCAATCACAAAGTGGGAGGAGAACAATATTTGTAGAGAGGATGTTCTAATCATCTCTTTGTTCAAAAGAAAATAATCTACAATAGGGATGTTCAACGTAGAAAGAGCACCGGATCATAGGGCTGGAAGGGACCTCAGGGCTGGAAGGGACCTCAGAGGTCATCTAGTCCAGAGGTCACCAACCTTTTCATGCTGGCGGCCAAGAGGGAAAGAGAGCAGCTGGGAAATCTGTGTTGAAACGGGATAGCGCGTGCCGACACGGAGCTAGTGGTCCCGTCTGCATAGGCATACAGATGCTAGCCGCCACTGCTACCCCCCCATGCATGCACAAATGGGCCACACAACCGGCACAGCTCTAGTGGCCCTGTTTGCACATGCATGCAAGCGCTAGCCACCCCTGTTAGGCCACGCATGCATGCACAAATGGGTTGTGCAATCTGTACGTGTGCTAGTGGCCCCATTTGTGCAGGCGTGCTGGTGCTAGCTGCCGCTGCTAGCCCCACGTACATGTGCAAATGGGGCCACAGGCACTAGCATAAGTGGGGGTGAGTCGCGCACACTGGCCATCCTGTCCTGCTGCCCGGTGGCCAGTAAGCCATGGCCCAGTTAGTGATGGCGAACCTTTTAGAGACCAAGTGCCCAAACTGCAACCCAAAACCCGCTTATTTATCACCGGATGCCAGGTGGGTGTGGCCCACTGGGTTGGCGTGGCTGGGGTGGTCATGGCAGATTGGGTGGGTGTACCCAAGGTGGGCGTGGTCACCTCAATGTTGCTCATGGGGAGGGATGCCTGTGGGGGGTGGGCAGGGTTGGGGGAGATCCAGGGGGTCTCTAGTAGGTGGGACGGTAGGCAGGAGGCTCGTCCTGTGGGTGAGGCAGGGTGGGGGTGCCACTGCCATGGGGCAAGGCAAGGGCCAAGGTGGCTGCTGCCTGACACCATCGGCCCCGCACAAAGAGGGCAGCGAGCACATTGGGGCTGACGGTGTCCGACAGCCGCCACAGCCTGCCAGCCCCTTGACCGGCGCACTCTGGAGCTCCACAGCCCGCTGCCAGCAGTTCAAAGAAGCTGCCTCTGAGATGGATGGCCGGCCAACAGCTGAGGAGGTGATGCAGTGGATCGTGCTGGGAAAAGGAGAGCATGCAAGGCCAGGAGGGACGGGATGGGGGGGAGGGAAACCAGCCGTGCCGGGATGCATCTGGCCATGTGGGACCTCGGCTAGTTAGCAGGCGGCTGGTTGAAGAGGGGCAGTTGCCCTCTCCGGGGCATGGTGCGCGTGCCCACAGAGAGGGCTCTGAGTGCCGCCTCTGGCACACCTGCCCTAGGTTCACCACCACTGCCTTATATCAACCAGTCAAATGGTTGTCCAATCTATTTTTGAAAACCTCCCGTGATGGTTACCACAGTGAGGAAATACTGCAGGAAAGAGCAATGACAGGATGACAATCCAACATGTATTGCTTAGTTACGCAAGCGGTGGTTGGCCCCTCATTTCCAAACCAGAGTCTGAGGTCACAGCTTTGATACAGCACACATCACGACAACTCAAAAAGGTAATAGTACATACCTTTTCTTCCACCAAACCGAGCTATTATGAACAAGTTGCAGAATTACAGAATCACAGAGTTGGAAGGGACCTTGGAGGTCTTCTAGCCCAACCCCCTGCTCAGGCAGGAGATCCTATACCATTTCAGACAAATGGCTATCCAGTCTCCTTTTGAAAGCCTCCAGTGTTGGAGCACCCAGAACTTCTGGAGGCAAATCATTCCACTGATTAGTTGTTCTTACTGTCAGGAATTTTCTCCTTATTTCTAGGTTGGATCTCTCCAACCTAAGTTTCCATCCGCTGCTTCTTGTCCTGCCTTCAGATGCTTTAGAGCAGCGGTTCTCAACCTATGGGTCGCGACCCCATTTGGGGTCGATCGACCACTTTTCGGGGGTCGCCAAAGGCGGCGATCCGCCATTTTGTCCCCTGGGGGTGGCGCTGTGCATGCACGCCACGCATGGGGGCGGCGGCGTGCCCCTGGGGGGCGGCACCGCGCATGCACACCGCGCATGGGGGTGGCAGCGCGCCTCCGGGGGGTGGTGCCGCGCATGCGCGCCGTGCATGGGGCGCCGTTGCGCATGCGCGCCGCGTGCGGGGGGCGCCCCCATGCGCGCCGCGCCGCACATGCGCATAACGTTTGTGTGGCGGGGGTCGCCGTCACACAAACGTTGAGAACCGCTGCTTTAGAGAATAAGTTGACCCCCCCCTCTTCTTTGTGGCAGCCAAAGTTGATCAACTTATTTGCACATGTAGCTAAACCTATAATTCCAGAGCTTTAAAGACACATACTTTACAGGCAGACAGCACAGAAGTCCTAGGCCAGGGGTCCTCAAACTTGGCTACTTTAAGACTTGTGGACTTCAACTCCTAGAATTCGCCAGCCACTCTTAAAAATGGCCAACTTTGAGGACCCCTGGCCTAGGCAATAGGGCAGAATTGCCACCGAAAGCATCCCTTTTTGCACAAAAGGCAGCCAATCCTTGAACAATCTCAGAGAAACCACCCATTCATTAATCAAGGCTTGTTTGGCTCAGTGGCAAAAAAAAGCAGGCAGCTCTTCACAAAAGACAGCTACTTACAGTGAGTGACTCCAGCAAGAGTTTGATAGAAGGTGGGGGTGTCACTGTCATCTGTCAGTGTGACATACACTCCTCCGGAGAGCAGCCAGCGGGAAAATGTGAAGGCTTCTTTATTGTGCAACAGCCAGGATCTGAATTTTTCATAGTTGACTTTTTCTCCCTGCAATAAAAGCAAAGGGAAAAGGGAGAAATGAATTGTGAAGTTTGGTTCCTTTCCCTCCCCCCCCCCAAATCAACTGTCTAAGGCAGTGGTTCTCAGCCTTTTTAACGCTGCGACCCCCAACCGGTCGTAAGTCCAGGACTACTCAACTGGTCGTAAGTCAAAGACTACTCAACTGGTGCAGCACCGTTTGCAGAATGGGACTTTGGGCGAGCTCAGCAGGGCAGAGACAGCCTGGACAATTCCTATTGGCTTTTGAAAGCCAATAGAATTAGACTCTATTCAAGAGAGTCTATTTTATTGGCTTTCAAAAGTAGTAACACAGCTAAGGAAAAGGGTAAAAAAATGGCGGACTGCGTTGTTTGGCGACCCCCGTGAAATGGTCGTTCGACCCCAAATGGGGTCCCGACCCACAGGTTGAGAACCACTGGTCTAAGGCAAGGGTGTCAAACTCAATTTCATTGAGGGCCGCATCAGCATTGTGGTTGCCCTGGGGGGGGCTAGGGGTGTGCGGCCTACTGGGTGGGCGTGGATGGAGTGGGTGTGGCCTACTGGGTGGGTGTGGCCATCTCTACATCATTCACGTCAAGGGTGCCTGTGGGGGCCTGGGCAGGAATGGGACAGTTCTGAGGGTCTCTGGCAGAAAGAGGTGGAACCAGGGCAGAGCCCATCAAGCTGGATATGTGACATAGGCGAGGGCCATTTGCTGGCCACTTCCAGGCGGTGGTCCATTTCTTCATTCCTCACAAAGGGTGACACCTCCCCAGCATGCACTCAGGGGCGGGGCCGACGCGGCAGGGGCTGGTTCCTCTCTGGTTCCAGACGGCCTTGTGGAGCTAAGACTGAATGCGTTTCAGCATAGATGGCTACCACAAAATTGTACATTGGCTCCCGGCCGGCCTGGGCCAGGGCCAAGGCAGCGGGGGCCGTTCCCTCACTGTTTCCAGGATGGCTTCGCGAGATACATGAAATCACTTTGCAGGCCGCATCCAGTCCCCGGGCCTTGTGTTTGACATGTCTGTATTAGAGCTATCGATAGAAAATAAAACAGTCTTACTCAGGCTGGGCATCCTCTAGTCCAGGGGTAGGCAATCTTGGCTCTTTTTTATGACTTGTGGACTTCAACTCCCAGAATTCCTAAGCCAGCATGGCTCAGCTTGGAAACCTCTCCCTTTCTCCTCAGCATGGCTGGCTCAGGAATTCTGGGAGTTGAAGTCCACGAGTCATAAAAGAACCAAGGTTGCCTACCCTTGCCCTAGATATATAGGACACAATATATATCATCCTCAGTCAAGGGAGAGACAATTTGATGTAGTGGATAAGGTGCTAACCTAGAAACAGGAAGCTATGAGTTCTAGTTCCTCCTTAGCCATAAAAGACAGTTTGGTGGTTTTGAGCCAATCAACAGGAGACTCTTGAGTTCTTTTCACACCTCAGGCCTGAAAGCCAACTGGGTGACTTTGGGCCAATCACCAGGAGACTGGGAATTCTAGTCCCACTTTAAGCATGAAAGCTGGCTAGATCAGAGGTTCTCAATCTGTGGGTCGGGACCCCATTTGGGGTCGAACGACCATTTCACGGGGATCGCCAAACAACGCAGTCCGCCATTTTTCCCCCCTTTTCCTTAGCTGTGCTACTCCCTTTTATTCTATTGGCTTTTGAAAGCCAATAGAATAACTCTCTTGAATAGAGTCTAATTCTATTGGCTTTCAAAAGCCAATAGGAATTGTCCAGGCTGTCTCTGCCCTGCTGAGCCCGCCAAAAGTCCCATTCTGCAAACGGTGCTGCACCAGTTGAGTAGTCCTCGACTTACAACCAGTTGAGTAGTCCTCAACTTATGACCGGTTGGGGGTCGCGGCATTAAAAAGGTTGAGAACCACTGGGCTAGATGATCTTGGTACAGTGTACGGGTGACAGGGGTCAATCAAAAGAGCTGGGAGGTACTGTGACATCAGAGCAGCTAAGCCAGTGGTATTTAGGGAAAGATTAAGGAAGGAATTGCAAGCCACAAGACAAGAAAGAAATATAGGTACTTCCCAACTTACAACCGCAACTGAAGCAAAAGTTTCAGTTGCTAAGTGAGATGGTTGTTAAGTGAATTTTGCCCCATCTTACGACCTTTCTTGCCACAGCTGTTAAGTGAATCACTGCAGTTAATTTAACAACACGGTTGTTAAGTGAATCTGGCTCCCCCCGTGACTTGGCTTGTCGCAAAAGGGGATGACATGACCCCGGGGCAGTGCAAGCGTCGTAAATATGAACCAGTTGTCAAGTGTTTGAATTTTGATCATGTGACCACAGTCACAACTGTAAAAATGGTCATAAGTAATTTTTTTCAGCGCCATTGTAAAATTTGAATGGTCACTAAATGAATGGTTGTAAATTGAGGAGTATCTCTAGGCAGGAAATGATAAGAGCCCTCTGCATTTATATGTTTGCCTACTAATTGCAACTGAGTATTAAAATCACATTTTCTCAAACTCTGCTCTTGATGAGCTTGAAAGAAATATACTTCAAGCTCTCTCCCATTAAAAATGACTGCTGTTATTTTCTGATCTGTTGTAATGGCAGCTGAGTGCCTGGGTTTAAAAATAAAATATTCCTGCCAATTCCTTTGTCGACAGATCAGAGTGCTGATTTTTCAACTGCAGGGCCTGCTGTTGCATTCAAAGCCAGCCTGGAAGAAAACTATGATTAACTTCAGGAGCCCTGTATATATTGGCGTGCGTGTATTTTTAACCCTTTGGCACAAAAGGATTAGCTTCGGCCTCCAGCGAGCTTATCAGGAATAGACAGCTTGGTAAAAGAGAACACACTTTGGTGCTGTGATAGCTAGCAAGACAAAGTTTCTGACACAATTTTGCAAAAAATACATCGCTAGGACTGAGGTGGAGGAACAGAGAGTGGTTATGTCTAACAGCAGAACAGATCTGTTCTATCAGAGTGTCACACATAGCTCTTACCAACTTAACGTGTTCCAGGTTTTAATATCTGTAACAGACTTTCACCTATAGGCAGTCCTTAAACTAAGACCACAGTTGAGCCCAACATTTGTGTTGCTAAGTGTGAAATTTGCTAAGTGAGTTTTGCCCCATTTTACGACTTTTCTTACCACATTTTAATTTAATTTAATTTAAAGTTTAATGAAAAGAAAGATTAGGGGGGACATGATAGCAGTATTCCAATATCTCAGGGGCTGCCATAAAGAAGAGGGAATCAAGCTATTTTCCAAAGCACCTGAAGGCAGGACAAGGAATAACGGGTGGAAACTAATCAAGGAGAGAAACAACCTAGAACTAAGGAGAAACATCCTGACAGTTAGAACAATTAACCAGTGGAACAACCTGCCTTCAGAAGCGGTGAATGCTCCAACACTGGAAGTTTTTAAGAAGAGACTGAACAGCCATTTGTCTGGAATGGTATAGGGCTTCCTGCCTGAGCAGGGGGTTGGACTAGATGACCTCCAAGGTCGCTTCCAACTTTATCATCATCATCATCATTACTATTTTTTCCTATTATTCCTATTCTACTCTTATTCTGTGAATAATAGGAAAGCACTGATAATGTTACCTAGTTTGGATAATGAAATGTCTGCAAGAAAACAGTCAAGCTTAAGAGAGCACCACATAATCCTTCCAGCTCCTCCTCCTCTTCCTCTCTTCAAAACCTACTCACTTCTAGTACTGATGATGTTACCTAGCTGGGTGCAAGAAAACAGCTAAGCTCAGACAGCACCCTGGAGCCCTCATCTGAACCCTGAGCTACAAATATTAACCCAAAGTCACCCAGGTGGCTTTCATGGCTAACATGGAATTAGAACTCATCTGTGATTTTAGGCCGACACCTAAACTACCACACCAAACTGGCTGTAATTTCAAAATTACACTGAATTTCAAATTGAACTTGGAAATTCCAATGTAGTTTTGAAATTACAGGCAGTTTGGTGTAATGGTTAATTTGAAATTCAAATCCGGATTGCTGTCTTTCTGGAATGCTCTGAAGATTTCTGCCCTGGAGCAGGGGTTGGACCATGGTCCCTTCCAACTTTCTGATTCCACATCTGGTTCAGGTACAACTTTTTTAGGGCATCTGACATTCCCAGAGAGATGAAGCCCTCACTTAGTGTGTCCAGCATTTGGACTGAACCTTCTTAAGACACAGAATGAATCTGCTCTGTACAAGGCAGTTGTGACTGCAGCTGGCTAGCCGTCAGCTGGCTATGTGCCTTGCCAAATATCGAAAGCAGAACCTGCTGCCAAATGCACATCTGGTGCCAACAGCTGCTCTCTCACACACAGACACCCAAAGGTAGACTCCAAATGCCAATCAACATGTGCCGGAATTGATCACAAATATTGACTGTTCTTAGAGCACTTTCCATATATTATTTAGTTGCAGTACTCTAGGTTAGAGGTGTCCAAACTTGGCAACTTTAAGACTAGCGGACTTCAACTCCCAGAATTCCCCAGCCAGCTATGGGAGCTGAAGCCCACAAGTCTTAAAGGCAGACCACTCTTGATTTTGCAAACAGGAGATGGTGAGACCGACGTAGGGAATGTTGGTCAAGAGGTTTTATAAGTATAGCTCTAGCAGGCTACCATGGTCACATAAATCAAAATTCAGGCGCCTGGCAACCAACATATATTTAAAATGGCTACAGCATCCCAGGGTCATGTGATTGCCATTTGTGACTCTCCCAGCCAGCTTCCTACAAGCAAACTCAATGGGAGAAGCCCGATTTGCTTAACAACCGAGTGATTCACTTAACAACTGCAGCGATTGAGCGATTCGCTCAACAACGATGGCAAAAAGGGGATAAAACGGGATGGCTTGTGTAATTTCCACCCTATTTTGGCAACAGAAATTCTAATTGTTGTTTTAAGTCAAGGACTATCTATATTTAAATGTCCCTGTTGTGATTAGGTAATGAATTTTTGTGTCATTACCAAAAAAAAAAAACCCTTCCACTTTTACCCAATTCTGGGTGATTTACCCACACGTGGGAAGCAATGGATTAATGTAATCTTTCCCTGAGCAAAACAAGCTAATCCACACTAAATAGAAGACTGGAATTGCTTCTTTTGTTTCTTTTCATCTCAAAAGCAGCACGACAAAGAGACACTCTGTTCCCATTAATAAGGTATGGGCCCAGCTAGCATGCTACTTTCTGGGAGAAAATTACTACCTGGTTCTAATTTTTAGCACTTACATAACTTTCCTCCTAGCAGGAAGAAAGTCGCAAACAACCCAACAGAGATGCTTATCTGTTTCACACACACACACACACACACACACACACACACACACACACAGAAGGAAAAGGGAAAACTGGTTCTGCATAAGTGGCTGGCAAGCGTACATGCAGGCAGCTCCATTTGCACAAGCGGCATGCACGCGCGCCTGTTGCTCACGCAAATGGAGCACATCCGCACACACTCACCCGCTGCTCACACACAGTTGCAATCCCGGGGCCCACAGTTTGGGGACCCCCAGTCTAAGGATTAAAAAAAAAAAATCTTTAAAAAGTTTGTTGCATCCAGGTACTTCTCCTTCATCATAGTGGTGCAGTGATTAAAATGCAGTATTGCAGGCTTAACTCACTGCTCACTGCCAGGAGTTCGATCCTGACAGACTCAAAGCTGACTCAGCCTTCCATCCTTCCGAGGTCGGTAAAATGAGGACCCAGACTGTTGCGGGCAATAGGCTGATTATGTAAACTGCTTAGAGAAGTCTGTGAAGCTCTGTGAAGCGGTATATAAATCTAAGTGCTATGACTATTGCTTCCTTCCTTCCTTTTTTTCTCTCCCTTTTTCTCCTTCCTTCCTTCCTTCCTTCCTTCCTTCCTTCCTTCCTTGCCAGGGTAGAGCAGTGGTTAAAATGCGGCATTGCAGGCAGACTTTGCCCACTGCCAGCAGTTCGATCTCACCAGCTCAAGGTCGACTCAGCCTTCCATCCTTCCGAGGTTGGTAAAATGAGGACCCAGATTTTTGGGGGCCATAGGCTGACTCTATAAACCGCTTAGAGAGGGCTGTGAGGCACTGTGAAGCAGTATATAAGTCTAAGTGCTATTGCTATTTAAAAAATTAGTATAGCAGTATTCCACAATTAGCATCATTAAAAGAGGATTGGTATCAAGGCAGAATAATGATGCTATCGAGAAGAAAAAAAAGAATTGAATATTGAATAAAAGGTGGACAATGATCAGGAATTACCTCCGAGAAGCATTTTTTTAGACATTCAGGGACTTTCCCATCAATTATGAGAAGCATCCTCTCCATCTCTTCACGGGCGACATGGCTCCCAGATTCATTGGAAAACAGGCTGAAAATATCTAAGAGAGAAGACAAAACAATGTACCCAGAGCAAAATAACTATTTCGTTGCAAGTCAGACTTGGGATAGAGCTGGTGATGTCCATTATTTCACATAATTTTAGAAAAAGGAATGGTTATGCTCTTAAAAGCTTTTTACAAAAAAAAATCTACATATGTTCTTACAGTCATCTGATATCACCATTGCAAAGGGCATGGCATTTTATGTAAAATACCGTAAATATCACAAGCAATGTCTAGGTCAGAGGTAGGCAACCTTGGCTCTTTGATGACTTGTGGACTTCAACTCCCAGAATTCCTCAGCCATGCTGAGGAGAAAGGGACAGGTTTCCAAGCTGAGCCATGCTGGCTCAGGAATTCTGAGATTTGAAGTCCATGAGTCATAAAAGAGCCAAGGTTGCCTACCCCTGGTCTAGGTCAATGTTTCTCAACCTCGGCAGCTTGAAGATGGGTAGACTTCAACTCCCAGAATTCCAAAGCCAGCCATGCTGCCTGAGGAATGCTGGGAGCAGACGTTCACCCATCTTAAAGCATGCTGGCTTGAGAATTCTTGCAGTGGAAGTCCACCAATCTTCAAACGTGCAGCCTAGGGAATTCTGGGAGTTGAAGTCCACTCCATCCTCAAGCTGCCACAACTGAGAAACACTGAGGTTGGTCCTCAATCTCAACAAGGAGCTTAAATTTCCTGAGAAAATATATATGCCCCTTCAACCCTGAGACAGCAGCACCTCAGCATTGTTGGATTAACACAAGGTAGCCCTGATGGAATTAAATGAAAGGCTCAGCCTACTGGAGGCAGTAACGCTTAAACTGGATTGGCAAGAGGCATATTCCAAGTGTTACTCAGCTATGAAGCGCCTTGAGATTAGCTGTCTCTCAAGATGGTTCTGAAAATGAAATATTGCAGCGGTTCTCAACTTTTTCTTCACCCTGGGCCCCTTTTAAACACCTGTTGTGGCCACGGACCACCAAGACTGAATTCAAGATTTAAATTATAACATGTTTTCAAGACTTTGTGGACCCCCTTATATAACATAATAGACACCCCAAAGGTCCATGGATCACAGGTTGAGAGCCCCTGAAATATTGAATATGCTACAGAAGTGACTTTTGACAGATTCCTTTTCCTATTGCAAGCGCTTGCTGGAAGCCGATTCGGTTTCCCCACATCTTGAAAACCTCCGATCTTCCTTAACCCGCTGTACGAGTAGTTCTGGACTTGCAACAGTTCGTTTAGTGACCGTTCAAAGTTGCAATGGCATTGAAAAAAAGTGACTTATGGCCGTTTTTCATTTTCTCATTTTTCATATGGCTGTTGCAACTTCTCCATATAGAGAGCCAATCGGGTGTCATCTTGTTTTGGCAATGAGCCAATCAGATCACAGTAGCATTCGGTTATTGATATCATGTATTGAAGCTGAGGAGGACATTTGTCAGTGTGTTATGTGATCGCTATCAAGTTGGTTGGTTTTTTTGTGTTCTTTCATTGAGTGAGCTTGTAAAACGTAATAAAATTAAAGAAATGGTGCAAAGAGTTGACTGGTCGCCCAGAAAGCGATGTAAAATAGTATTATTAAGTGAACAAGGCTACAGTTGTTTTTTTTACAGTTATGACTTTTGCAGTGTCCCCCCATGATCATATGATCAAAATTCAGATGCTTGGCAACTGGCTCATATTTATCACGTGATCCCCTTTTGCGACCTTCTGACAAGTGACGTCAATGGGGAAGCCAGGCTCACTTAACAACTGGGTTACTAACTTATCAATTGCAGTGATTCACTTAACAGCTCTGACAGGAAAGGTCGTAAAATAGGACAAAACTCACTTAACAAATGTCTCACTTAACAACGGAAATTTTGGACTCAATTGGGGTCGTAAGTCAAGGACTAACTGTAGCTGTTAATGGGGAAAACTCTAACTCAGCTGGAACACCAGCCTACCCATGCCTTGTCTCTCTTCCAAACAGGACTGGTACTTACCCCAAAGATGCTTTTTCCAAAGGGGTTTCCCCCCCACTTGGAAAACATTTCACTTCTCACCTTAGAACAGTGATGGCCAACCTTTTAGAGACCGAGTGCCCAAACTGCAACCCAAAACCCACTTACTTATCGCCGGGTGCCAGGTGGGCATGGCCCACTGGGTGGACGTGGCTGTGGAGGTCATGGCAGATTAGGTGGGTATGGCCAAGGTAGGCATGATCAACTCAATGTTGCTCGTGGGGAGGGACGCCTATGGGGGCCGGGCAGGGTTGGGGGAGATCCAGGGGGTCTCTGGTAGGTGGGGCGGTGGGCAGGAGGCTCGTCCTGCAGGGTGGGGCGAGGCAAGGCGAGGTGAGGCAGGGTGGGGGTGCCATTGTCACAGGGCAAGGTGAGGCAGGGGCTGAGGCGGCTGCTGCCTGACACCATCGGCCCCCGCACACAGAGGCCAGCGAGCGCATGGGTGCTGGGATACATCCGGCCATGTGGGACATCGGCAAGTTAGCAGGCAGCTGGTTGAAGAGGGATGGTTGCCATCTCCAGGGCATGGCGTGCGTGCCCACAGAGAGGCCTCTGAGTGCCACCTCTGGCACACATGCCATAGGTTCGCCACCACTGCCTTAGCAGCTTCTTCAGCTTCTAGGGAAGGGAAACATTTTCAAAGAAAACAGCAAGAAAGTCCAGTTGTCTTTTGGAAAAAGCACTTTTGGGACAACCACGACCTGGATGGTTGAGGATCTCCACAAATGACTGATACTTACACTTGGCTTTCTCTTCATCTCGGCCCCTCGTCAGGAGGACTAAGCCCACTATCAGGTTATTGAAATGTAGTCCTTTCGACGTGCCACCAAAAGAACAGTATATGACCTGAAAGAAAAGATGAGAAAAATGTCAATCTGGGCGATCAGAAGAGGAACATCTCTGGGTCCTTCTGCGTGACCCCTGCGGTCAAGTTGAAAAACAAAGCAAAGAGAGCTTAGAAGTCGTTCTACCAAATCTGTTGCTTACGGTTGTTTTGAAAGGTAGGAGAGCCGTGGGCTGCTAATTAAGATGACCCCATTTCAAACCTGGCCTCTGTCCTGAACTCAACAGGTGGGCTTCGTCAAAGAGTTTCCCTTTGTAATCTGGGAAGAAAATGAGGCCAACTTGCTTTATAAGGTGGTTAGCTCATAACCTGGTAAGTGCACATAAAGCAGTGTTTCTCAACCTTGACAATTTTAAGGCATGTGGACTTCAACTCTACAGAATTCCACAGCCAGCAATGCTGGCTGTGGAATTCTGGGAGTTGAAGTCCACATGCCTTAAAATTGTCAAGGTTGAGAAACACTGACATAAAGCAATCTCTATGCTTGAAAGCATTAGGCAAGTCTTAATTTTTATGAGCGTCTGGCCCCAATTCTCTGGCATCTATTGCTCAGGAAGGTTGAACAACTAAAAAGCCACACACGACAGGCAGCACATAAACACCACACACAGAATAGCCCAAAGCACACACTCTGCTAGAGAGAAGTTCCCTAAGGATGGCCTCCGGCACTAGTCCGAAAGCTTGGAAGACTAGACTAGACTAGAGTAGATTAGATTAGATAACCTTTATTGTCATTTTTTTCTGTGTGGGCACAAGGGCACACGTTAAAAATGAAATTTAGTTGCTTGCTCTCAAAGCGTTACACGTACATAACATATATTTAAAACATACTATATACAACAGGGGTCTTCAAAGTTGGCCCTTTTATGACTTGTGGACTTCAACTCCCAGAATTCCTCAGCCAGTGTGCCTGGCTGAGGAATTCTGGGAGTTGAAGTCCACAAGTCATATAAGGGCCAAGTTTGAAGACTCCTGATATGCAACATATGTATAGACCAGTGGTGGCGAACTTATGGCACGGGTGCCAGAGGTGGCACTCAGAGCCCTCTCTGTGGGCACACGCGCCATGCTCCGGAGATGGCAACCATCCCTCTTCAACCAGCCGCCCACTAACTCGCCGAGGTCCCACGTGGCCGGATGCATCCCAGCACAGCTGGTTTCCCTCCCCCATCCCATCCCTCCTGGCCTCGCATGCTCTCCTTTTCCTGGGCATGACCCATTGTATCGCCTCCTCAGCTGTCCGCCACCATCCAGCTCAGAGGCGGCTTCTCTGAACTGCTGGCGGTGGCCTGCGGAGCGCCAGAGTGCGCCAGTCGAGGGGCTGGCAGGCTGTGGTTGCTGACGGACACTGTCGGCTCCCATGCGCTCGCTGGCCTCTATGTGCGGGGGCCGATGGTATTGGGCAGCAGCTGCCCCGGCCCCTGCCTCGCCTTGCCTGCGACAATGGCACCCCAGCCCTGCCTCGTCTTGCCTCACCTCACCCTGCAGGACGAGCCTCCTGCCCACTGCCCCACCAGCCAGAGACCCCCTGGATCTCCCCCAACCCTGCCCCACCAGCCAGAGACCCCCTGGATCTCCCCCAACCCTGCCCATCCCCCACAGGCATTCCTCCCCACGAGCAAGATCGAGGTGACCACACCCACCTTGGCCATACCCACCTAGTCTGCCATAACCACCGCAGTCATGCCCACCCAGTGGGCCACACCCACCTGGCACCCAGCGATAAATAAGTGGATTTTGGGTTGCAGTTTGGGCACTCGGTCTCTAAAAGGTTCGCCATCTCTGGTATAGACCTACACCCTTACATATAAGTAACATATAAATATTAATCACTGTCCATCTGGTCCCGGTGACCGACCCAGATTGGATCCTGCAACAGTATCCTGGGACATGTAGATTTGCCTTCCCTGCAAATGACTTGTCGTCATCCCCATGCCTCTTTCGCTCCTTTATCCTGATCACACATGCGCCATGTATCATATCACTTGTTAGTTCCTCTCCAGGTTGAAGTGCAAGGTGATTATTTATAGGCTCCGGCAGTCATGTGAGAAGTCACCCTGGGACAAACCTCCCCTTGCTTTTAAAATAAAAATAACATGGCCTGTCCTGAAGCCCCAACCACAAGCTTCAGTAATGGCACGATTGGTCGATTCAGAAGCGCTTGGGACTTTCCCATCGTGGCTAGTACCGATATCCATCATGGCTAGTACTAATATCCACCTACATACAGAGAGTTCTCCACTTTTACACCTCTGTTGAGCAACCATTCAAAGTTACAAATGGCACTGGAAAAAGTGACTTATGATCATCTTTCACACTTATGACCTCATGGCCATGTGGTCAAAATTCAGATGTTTGGCAACTCATATTTATGACGGTTGCAGTGTCCAGGGTCATATGATCACTTTTGTGACCTTTTGACACGCAAAGTCATCGGGGAAGCCAGATTCACTTAATAATCATGTTACTAACTTAACAACTGCAGTGATTCACTTAACAACTATGGCAAGAAAGGTCGTAAAATGGGGCAAAACTCACTTAAGAAATGTCTCACTTAGCAACAGAAATTTTGGGCTCAATTGTAGTTGTTAAGTTGAGAACTACCTGTACTTATATCTACCTATATACAGAGAGTTCAAGACTTACATCCACCCATTTAGCGACTGATCAAATTTACAACATCACAGGCCCTTGCACTTATGACCCCTGCAGCATCCCCATGTGTCAACGCTGCTAACATCGGATGTTTTTGCTTTGACAACAGTTGGAGATGCAACCATTTTCTTATGTTTTACTTTTAGAGTTAGAGTTAGATAATACTGGGGGGAGGAATCCGAATGAGAGTTTAGCTAGACATAACAATACTGGACCTAGTGTGTGAACCAAGGTTATTGAAATAAGAGATGATAAGAAAAGGCAGGCTGGAGAACTGGAGGGAAAGCCTGCATTTCAAACTAATTGGAGAATGTGATTTATGACTGTTAATTGGAGGAGGGAATTGTGCTTTGATACTATGTGCTCAGGGGAGGGGAACTCAGTTTTTGGCTTCGATTATGCAGTGCCGATGCTATGCTACTCAAATAAAGATTCTTTAAGGTAAACAATGCTTCGAAGTTCTCTGAAGAGTTTCATCTGTCGGAACCATGACACCATGGTCATGTGATCAAAAACCGGTTACTTGGCAACAGGCATGGATTTACAATTTACAATTGCAGTATGCGGAGGTCATGTGATCACCATTTCCAACCTTGCCGGCCAGCTTTCGAGACACAAAGTCAAGGGGAGTCAAGGTTTGTTTAACAACTGTGCAATTCACTTAATGACTGCAGTGATTTGCTTAACCATCGCTCAGAGTTATTGAAAACGAGATGGGCAGCGTTCAATTTCATAAATCAATAAATAATGGCAAAAATAATAAAATCGAGCGCACCTCACGTAACTACTATCTTGCTTAGCAACGGAAATTCAAGCCGCAGTTGAGCTCTTAATTTGCGGACAACCTGTTACGAGGATGTTCCAAACTCATGGTTACTTATTTATTATTTTGTTGTTGTTGTTAATTGCGAAGTCGTGTCCGACCCATTGTGACCCCATGGACAACGTTCCTCCAGGTCTTCCTGTCCTTTACCATCTTCTGGAGTCATATTAATATATTGCCATGGTTATTAAGCATATCACTGCAGTTGTTAAGTGAATCATACAGTTGTTAAGTGAATCTGGCTTCCCCCATTGACTTCGCTTGTCAGAAGCTTGCAAAAGGGAATCACGTGACCCTGGGATGCTGCAACCGTCGTGAATATGAGCCAGTTGCCAAGCAGCTGAACTTTGATCACGTGATCAAGGGGAACGCTGCAAAATGGTTATAAGTCCCCTTTTTTCAGTGCCACTGTAACTTCAAACAGTCACAAAATCAGGGGTTCCCAACCAGGAGTGTGAGACGATATTCCAGGGGGTGTGAAAACTTGGGCTTTCAAAATTATAAGTGTATATGCATAATTCGTTGTCATTATTTCAAACTTTTGTAAGGTGATGAAGACGGAAAAGTCTTCATCAGGGTTCAGTCCAAGCCGGGAATAAACAACATGGCGACTGCTTTAGAAAGAAGGTTGCAGTTTATTCCTGGTTTGGACTGAACCCTGATGAAGACTTTTCCTTCAACAAAGGGGTGTGAGAATATATCAGAAGCATTCTAGGGGCGTAGGGTATAGAAAAGGTTGGGAGCCACTGAACTAAACAAACTGTTGTTAGTAAAGAACTACTTGTAAGTCAGTCTTTGAGGCCGAAATTCTTTTTAAGGAAACTGCACAACAGACATTTACCACCAAGTTATCCCCACAATGCTGCTATTTAAATTGCCAGCATTTGAGAACTTGACCTGATTAGCACATCTGCAGTAACATCAAAGCTTTGACTAATCCTTTGTGGAGAACTCCAGCGAAGGGCCTTAATAGCAAGGCAACCATGGAGACACCTGGCTGATTTGATTAAGGGGGACTACAATGAATAGGAAACTTAGTCTTTGAGATAGGGGATGTTTTTTTTTATTACTTTACAAGATTAATGCACTTCAGCTCGGCTTTTTAACGAAGTTGAAAATGCAAAGCACTAGAGAGCAAAGAGATTAAGCCTGGTTTGGCTAGGGGAAACATCCCCCGCCACAGATAGTGGTACAAAATAATCCTACGTTTATTTTGGCTCCAGGAACAGCCAAGGTGTTTCAAAGGATCTGTCAAATTTTCCCTCGGCTTTGAAAAAAGAAAGAGAAAAAGAAATCTGGCAAAGTACTGCTACAAAAACACCGCTATTGTAAATGACATCTTTCCTTGTCAAATTCAGCTCCTGTCCACAATTTCGCTGGGTGGAAAGAATATTATTGCAGATAGTCAGGGATGTCTGCACGTGTTATTTATACAATACTGCCATTTAAAAAAAAAAAGCCAAGATTTAGTTGGGAAAGGGCCCAATTCCCCCCTCTCTCATTTCAAAACAGAAGTAAACTTCA